AGGAAAAATAAAATAAAAATAAAATGTTGGGGTCACATGTTGTTTCATAGGCTAAATAAAGCACGTCTGTGGGCCAGATTTGGCTTGGAAGCTGCCAGTGTGCAACTGCTGTTTTTAAACTTGGTATTCATAGGACAAAAAGTACTAATCACATGCCAGTGTATGTTAGAGTTGGCATTTTTCATCATATTAGGTCTAGGGCCTATATGGACTTCTTTTAAGTAAATTTTTATCTTTGATATTAGATAGTTCTTTGATTTGAAGACCTCTACTTTGATCTCTTCACTCACTCCTGTCAGTCATTCCATCAGGGTATCCCCACTGAGGAGATACACTGTCACCTCCATTTTGATGGTGGATCCCCAGAATACCCTGAGAGAGCATAACCCTGCCATCATGCTGGGACTTCTAACCAAGATTAGATTTTCACACACATGATGCCATGTCCCCAAAGATTCCCCAGACATAGAGCCAGTATTCTCCAATGCTGGCTTCACTTAGCCAAGGTTTGGACTGTGGTTCACAGTGGCAAGCCCAGTGGAGGGCAGGCATGGAAGGGCACCAGAGAGGCCCAAAGTACTCCTGTGTTTCCAAGGAGAAACAAAATCAGTAGGTGACTGTTTCTCAATTTTGTTCCATGAATTAAAAGTTCTCAGCTATTCACATTCAAAATGTCTATAAGTGAAATAATAATTCGTATTCACACTTCTGTTTGTCTAAAGAAGTCACTTAAAGGGCGCCTGGGTGGCCCAGTCGGCTGAGCATCTGACTTCGGCTCAGGTCATGATCTCTCAGTTTGACGAGTTTGAGCCCCGTGTCGGGCTCTGTGCTGACAGCTCAGAGCCTGGAGCCTGCTTTGGATTCTGTGTCTCCCTCTCTTTCTGCTCCTCCTGCTCACACTCTGTCTCTCTCTCAAAAATAAATAAAGATTTAAAAAAATTGTTTTTTAATCTGAAAGACATCATTTATATTGAGTGATAATAATAGGATATCATTAAAATTCCTGTTTTTGAGGAAATCTCTAATTTTTTTTTTTTTTTTTTCTTTTTGGGTTATTTTTAAGATCGTGATGCTGGAGATGGAGTCCTGAACCCTGAAGAAGCAGTCATGGTTCCAGAAGAATTAAAATGGGCATCCAGAACTGAAAGTATAAAGTTAAGTGGAAGAGAAAGAGAATTAGACAGTTCAACAAGCAGCTTAAGAACACAACTGAATCCTCAGAAGCTCTTGGAAGAGGCCCCGGAATTACCTCCAATCTGTAGCTCTTTAGCACCCACTAGTGGGCATTTGCTAAACAATGAGGATAAAAAAGAAATAGACGAGTATCATTTCATAAAATCTCACAGTCGACCATCACCCCAAATCCAGCCAGTGGGAAACGCAGGACAGCTTCATGGTGTCACATCTGTAAAGTTATGTCGTAAAGAGTTACGTCAGATTTCTGCCTTGGAACTATCACTACGGCGTTCCAGTCTTGGAGTTGGGGTTGGATCTATGACTCCTGATTCCATTGAAGTAGCTAGGAAGCCGAGTGACTTTAAAACAGGCATTTGATAATACAATTTTCAATTTAGTAGAGGTGTAAGATTCCTTTTTCTAACCTGTTAGAAATTAAAGCTTATGCTCACTAGTTCTTCCCTCAGGATAAAGGAAGAAGGGAAGGAAGGAATCATTTTATATACTATAGACGTGTGTATCTTCTGTGGTATATTTGGGGAGTTTTAATGACTTGCAGATATTTCCATAATAACGAAATGAACACGTTTTCCCATAGTATCAAATAATGGAATATTTAAATATTTCCCCTTATAACTTTGCTTAAAATTTCTCTCCAGGCATATATAAAGAACAAAACATAAAAGTAGGATTATAAACTAAAATATCCATCAAATGTATATTGCCATATAATATAAAAGTATGTTTTAATACATTAATTATATCTTACAAGTTCATATTATTATCATTCTCAAATATAAATATGTGTTTGTTATTTTGGAGAGATGCAGTTAAATATTGCTTGTATGAGCAGGGGAGTCTCCTGCTGCATATGTTTTGGCATAGCTGAAAATCTGTGCCAAAATGCAGTCTGTGGATGAAGGTAATTGATTAGGTTTATGGTTAAAGTTAATTTATGGTCCTCAGTGTCCACAGAGGTTAGGTGATCAGTCTTGACTTTTTAAACATGGTTCTCTGCTTTTTCTGAGATTGTTTTCAGAATGTCATATTGTTGGTTTGCTAATATTATGGAATGTAAGTCTTCGTCTCTCTCCCACCCTGTCTATTCAACATATATCTCATTAGGCTACTAGATTTGGGGGAAAGGATGCAGTTCCTTGCCACAGGGAAGCAATAATAGAATAACAATAAAGCATTACAGCATTTCAAGGAAAAGATACCTGGTCACAGGGAGTATGACTATAAACTTGACGTCTAACCAGAGGCTCTATAGCTAATGATCCGTTGGGCTTACTGGGAGATTTTTTTCTACGGCCTGCTAGGTCAGGTCATGCACACAGGCAGGCCAGACTGCATTGGGACTGTAAATATGTAAATGAAAACTTTTCTTCATGATTTTTTTTAGTCTAAATCTTACTATATAATCTAAACTTCAGTTTGGAATTAAGAACTGAACACTGATTGGCCCAACAAACGGTTTGTACTTTTTCATCATACTTTTTAATCACGAAAACATCCCATTATAATGACCAGAGGTATTTTGTTACTTTTTGTTGCTGCTGTTGTCATTTGTGTTACTTTTCCACATTTTCACTTGTAAAATAAAATTTTTTCTTAAACTAATTACTGTTTGGGTGGGGCAGTAGTAAAACCACCCTGACTTATGGATGTCTACTCAATTAGAGTCACCCACTTCCTTGCTGACTCCAGTTTTTCTTATGTGATGCTGCTACTAATATTTTTCTTTTGTCCTTTCCTCTGTTGTTATTGACCCTACCCATTCTTACCTAAGACCCAAACTGTCCCTTTGTGCTCAAACACTTATGGTTTTGTTTTTCTGGTTTCTAGGCCCTGGGGAGTAGGGTTCCTTGTTCTCATTGCTAAAAACCAGTCCCTAGAGGAGAAGAAAACCAAAACAAAACAAACTTCTAAATCAGTGAATAGTTTGTGTATCTCTTAAGCATGGTACTGAAATTCATTTAAATTGTAGATTAAATAGGAGTGTTTGGGTGGCTCAGTTGGTTAAGCATCTGATTTTGGCTCAGATCATGTCTCATGGCTTGTGAGTTCAAGCCTCGTATCAGGCTCTGTTCTGAATGTGCAGAGCCTGCTTCAGATCCTCTGGCGTCCCCTCTGTCTGCCCTCCCTCATTTGCTCTCTCTCTCAAAAACAAACATTAAAAAAAATGTAGGTTAAATAGACTGCTGTGGACTTACCTGGGAATGGACTTACCACAATGTCCAATATTGGCCCAATGAGAAACAACTTTAGACAAGGAATTTACAAACTAACTTGGAAAATATATTTTAAGCAGAGACTATTTCAAGTCAGATTCTGGTTTTAAGCTAGTTTCTTCTTTTTGCCTTTAGTTTGTAGGATATATACTCAAAATATAGTATGTGTAATATATATATATGTGTGTTATATATATATATATACACACACACACATAATGGCAAAGGCCAGTGCCTTAACAAAGCACAACAATGATATATTTATTAATGAATGCATAGTTATTAATTAAGGTCCTAATTGTAAATTCCTTATAAATTAAGTAATGATTTAGAAATTATTCATATAAGAATATATTCTAACTCTGGAATCTTGCTTCCCTAAGAAATTGACATATACTTGTTTTGCCTGTGGAAACATAAAAGTATTTTCTAAAAGCAAATAAGTATTTTCTAAAAGCACTAACAAAGCAAAAAAATTTATATCAAACCAACGGTGATTAGATTTGATAATGCAAATGTGAACTGACTTCTAAATAAGAAAGGTACAATTTTTCTTCCTTTTGGTTAAACATATATCCTTTATATGCTATAATAGATTTCATGTACCTACACAAACACATACCTATAAGTAATGTCCTGAACAATAAATATGTTCTGGAAGTGAACTTCCATGTCATTCTAGCTTAGTGCCCTCACAAAGGAAAGAAGAATTATGACACTTCCCCCAAGGCAAGTAAACTTATTTTTTAACAAATGCTACTAATAAATTTTACTCAGTCATATGCTTTCCTTAGTCTAACAATTTTGTCACTGTATTTGCCTTTTAGAGTGTATATAAAATATGTGTGTGGTTTTCTTTTTTTGTTCATTACAGGTTTTTCTCCACTTAGAGCATTTGGAAGGAAACATATTTGCCTCTGTAAAGTACTAGTTCCTTCTGTAACATCAGATGTTACAGGTAACAGAGTTGGAGAATCATATAAGTATGGGAATTCTGGGTGGCGAGAATATCAATGAAGGTGATTTTGTGCTTTAATATTTGTTTTCTTTTGCTAATGGGTTTTTTGGTTGTGATGTTTTTGTTTTGATTTTTGGTCCCTCTGTTCTTCGTATCTTTATGGACTTTGCCCAAAGAGTCAGCAAAAATACAAATGATCTTCAGTAGTGTGGACTTTATTGCCATTAGTCATTGGCTTATTTGTATTAGTTCAGGTCAATAATGTGGTAAATGCTTATTTAAGAGTAGCTATTTTACCAGCTTGTGAGTTTGAGTCCCACTTCGGGCTCTGTGCTGGCAGTGTGGAGCCTGCTTGGGATTCTCTCTCTCCACTCCCCTCTCTCTCTGCCCCTCTCCTGCTTGCACTCTCTCTCTCTCACAATAAATAAATAAGAACTTAAAAAAAAAAAGAATAGGTGTCTTATATGAAAGAAGTTAATAGAGGTCTTATAGTAAGTCTTAGAATGAATTGCTAGGGAGTCACATCCTTAGTGGGAGTTTTGATTCTATAGTCAACCTAAATTCTCATGCATCAAATGCAAGAATGACCCGTTTTGCTCTTTCATTTATTCCCTTAGGTACATGTGACTCTTAAAACACTGGTGCGTCAATATCTGAAAGTTCAGTGTCTGCTTGTGTACCATTCTTCTCTCAACTTCACTGGAATATTAAAAAATATTAACTGTGTATATTTTACATTTAAATTTATAACAGGCCAAAGGCTCCCTTCATTAGTACTAACACATTCTTCAACACTTATATTTTCAAAAATTGAAGACAAAGGTGGGCACCTGGGTGGCTCAGTCTGTTAAGCATCTGACTTCAGCTCAGGTCATGATCTCACCGTTCATGGGTTTGAGCCCTGTGTCTGGCTCTGTGCTGACAGTTCAGAGCCTTGAGCCTGTTTGGGATTCTGTCTCCCTTTCTCTTTGCCCCTCCCCTGTTCGTGCTCTGTCTGTCTCTCTCAAAAATGAATAAATAAAAACAATTTTTTTTTTAAAGAAATGTGGGAATGGATCCTTCCACAATAAACATCTCAAGTGCATTAGATATGTAATACTTTTGAGCTTATATGGGCAGTAGTGTTTTCAAAGGGCAGTAGGGGCATCTGCCCAGCGGGGAGGAATATTTTATCACTGTCATTGTTTATCTCAATGCTGACAATTAAAAGCAAGCTGACTTTTCATAAGTTTCAATATTTTACATACTCTACAAACAATGCACCCCTTTGTCATTGGCACCAGGAGGGACTGCCTGCATTCCTTGCTCTTGGAATGCAGTGCATACATGGTGTTTGATTTTTATCATGACCTTTGTGTTGACCCCAACAATACCCCAACATGGAGGTAATTAGAACATGAGAAATTATCAAAAGAAAGCTCAGAAAAACTTGATGTTGGGGCGTCTGGGTGGCTCAGTCAGTTAAGCATCTGACTCTTGATTTCAGGTCAGGTCATGATCTCATGGTTCATGAATTCAAGCCCCACTCAGGCTGTGCTCTGTGCTGGTGGTGAGAAACCTGCTTGGGATTCTCTCCTCCTCTCTCTGCCCCTCCCCTGTTCACACATGCTTTCTCTTTCAAAATAAACTTTAAAAAAAATTTTGATGTTATAATATTGACTTTTGATATTTTCCATAGTTCTTTGTCCCTTTTAATATTTTTTTCCCTAGGAATTTCCATAATGAGTCAAGAGAAAAGCCCCTATGTGAAATGCTAGCAGTGTAATATGATTGAGTCTAAATGTATTGACTTAGACTTAGCTATTATGTTCTACTGGTAAATTGTGATACACACTTCTACTGAGTTTTATCTATAGTACTTTATTATTTTTTTTATGTTTATTTATTTTGAGAGAGAGCAAGAGCAAGCAGGAGAGGGGCAGAAGGAGAGAGAGAATCCCAAGCAGGCTCCACGCTGTGAGCGCAGAGCCTGTCACAGGGCTCAATCCCATGAACCATGAAATCATGACCTGAGCCAAAATCAAGAGTCAGACACTTAACTGAGCCACCCAGGTGTCCCCTCTATAGTACTTTAAAAGAAAAATACAACAATCTCACAGGCTGTTAATACTGAGCAAGATCCTTATATGCCCAAGGAACAAGTTCATTCACAACAGAAGAGTAAAAAAATAAACATTTTTTAAAAT